AATGTTAATTTATAAGATTATATATTACTACCGTATACATAATATACGCATTGTTCTGTCCTCACGATTTTATGTTTAAATTTGTTTCAGATATTATTATTATATTGGCCTGTTGATTTCCTTTTGCATACGCTCAGTGATAATTGCAACCCTCCCACACAGTTATAAGCATAGCCAGGGGACATAACGTAACAAGATGAGGCCCAGAAGCCTGTCAGCATAATAATCATCATTTACGTATCCATCCATCCGTGTGCCAATCTATTTAATGATCAGTTTTAGCCTGTCTGTCTATTGCCGCTTAGATTTCTGTTGTCGTTGTTGTTGTTGTTGTTGTTGTTGTTGTTGTTGTTGTTGTTGTTGTTGTTGTTGTTATCAAAGAAGAGCTGGAAACCGTATTGGACAAGGGCAGTCTCATTGTTTCGAAATGTACTTTTCCGAAAGGGGTTGTCCGGGGGGGGAGGGGGTAGGGGGGGATAGAGATGTGGGAATAGAGTGTTTTTTTCCACTACTGACATACAGCGGTGACGTAAGCTACCACATGTAGACTACACTTACTGAAATCAATAGGTTAAAAAGGACAACAGGAGTTGCTTTGCCCTAGTGCATGCATATATATGTATTACAATAACAATTTCTTCAAGTTTCTTTATGTAGTGTTCTTCAATAAAAAACCACCCCTGTAAGATAAGGAGCCACTTCAATCCAGGCTACTTTTCATTATAGGTGTAAGCTGATGCCCCATGCTTTCTTCGTGAACAAAGCAAAAAAAGAATTAAAACCAAGTCGGGTAACGACCGAAATAGTGTATCCATTGATTTTGGAGTGGAGGCCGGTCTTCATGAAACAATCCTCCACTGGGAAATCGATCAATCTTCGCATTGTTCCTGTTTTAATAACCATTGGTGTGTTTCTCTTCTTACTTGCTTTTTTCTGTAAGATTTCAGCTTTCGAGTTAAGAACACAAAAGATTTTTCGAAAACGTTGTACAGTTCCAGAACATAGCTGGAGATTGCATGTGTTCTGATCTTGTTCTGTTTTTCGAGGTTTTGTTAAAGGCAGTATATTATCATTACCAAATCGGACATACAATTACAAGTTTATTTTCAGACGTAGACTCAATACTTCTTTTGGTAAATTGACTTTGTTCAAAAGATATTAAGAAGAGCATCGTTTATCTAGTCTTAGAATGGTGCTGAGTTCTTGATAGCTGTAGTGGAAATGAAGATTGTCACATAGGAGGAAAAGTAGGATGACGAGGAAAGGGAGGAGGAGGAGGGGGAAGCGGTGAAGGAGGTGGGGGAGAAGAAGAAGAAGAAGAAGAAGAAGAAGAAGAAGAAGAAGAAGAAGAAGAAGAAGAAGAAGAAGAAGAAGAAGAT